TTCCTAATTTGTACGAAACTACAGACTTAGTATTTTGACATCACAAACATATAACTTGAACCAGTGTTGCATTCCACATACCACATGACACACAAAAATCTATGCTTAACTGCATTTTTTTATATTTACTTTCAAATTAAGAAATTGAATAATGTATAATACTAAAATTTGAATTATAATCTACCGATTGATACCAAACTTACTGACATAAATTCATGAAATAGTAATTTAATAAATTTTTTTATTCCAGTCAACAAATGCAATGACATGGCCTTTGACCTGTGACCCATCTGGAATGAGTTAAGTGAAAATCTAGCCTTACAAATATTTTTGACATTCTTTGAAAAAGTTACTTCTCATGTAAATGAGGGTAAGGGTGTAGATTTGGTGTATCTGGATTTTACAGAAAGCATTTGACAAGTTATCAAATAATTGGCTTGAATAAAAATCTCTCTCTTTTGGTGATGGGAATAAGTTAGCTAATTGGGTAGAAGAGTTGCTGGATGGAAGAAAGCAAAGCGTTGTTATAAATGAAGTTCAATCAAACTGAATTAATGTCACAAGTGGGGTACCTCAGGGCTCAGTTTTAGGACCTTTGCTCTTTTTAATTTACATAAATGACATAGATGAAGGAATGGTCAATAAATTACTTAAATCTGATGATGATATTAAGGTCTTAGGTGTTGCTGGCTGTGAGAATGCTGCTGCTATGTTACAAAAGGATTTAGATCATTTAGTGAGTTTGGCAAATAAATGGCAGATGGGTTTTAATTATAGTAAATGCAAGACAATGCATATGGGTTATCATAATTTGAATTACAAGTATAATTTGGATGGGAATAACCTGAACAGTGTTACGAAAAAAGGGATCTTGGTGTAATAGCTGATCAGTCTCTTAAGCCTTCCAAGCAGTGTGCTGTTGCTAGTGGTAGGGCAAATAGGATTTTAGGTTGCATCTATGAAGTATTGAATACAAGTCTAAAGAGGTTATAATTTCATCCTATAGGTCACTGGTTGGGCCACATAACGAGAACTGTGTTCAGTCTTAGGCTCCTTACCTTAGGAAGGACAACTAATTTTTGGAAAGGGTTCATAGAAGGGCTACTAGAATGACACCTGGGATGAAGGGGGTTGTCATATGAGGAGAAATTAAGATCCCCGAAATTGTTTTCTTTTCAAAAAAGAAGTGTTAGAAGAGATCTGATTGAGGTGTTTAAGATTGTAAAGGGAATTGATAGTGTTGATGCATCATCTTTTTTTTTTTCATACTTAACAGTGAGAATGGTGGGACTAGGAGTCACATATATAAATTTTGGCTGGGTAGGTGTCATCTTCAGCTAAGACAGTTGTAATTTTCTAACAGGTTTGATGGTCTTTGAAACAGGTTGCCCTCTGATATTGTGGAGGCAGTACATTTAGGTGAGCTTAACCCTACCATTATGGGTTGTGTGGCTATGTTTTAGTGGACTAGTATTTTGTTAAATACAGTCACATTTCAGTTATTATACATTATATATGTATATACATTATTACTATTTAGAAATAAGTTCTTAAATTTCAGTTATTTTTCTTAACACATAGAACAGTAAATAAAGAATTATAGCAAACAATTATCTCTTATACTTAAAGTAGTTATGAACTTTGTACTTGTTTGCTGCTTGCCGTAGATTGCTAAGCCTTATCAAATTTTGCACATGGAGGATGTGAAATGAAATAATGTTTTTTAGGTTTTACATATACATTTATATACTGTGAAGTACAGAATAGTGGCCAATGACACTTTTTCTTCACTTCACCTATCCAGTGTATAGGTTTTTCTCATAGTGACAACAAAGCATATTCAGACCAACAGTATGGTCAACTTATGTGCATTGTTTACATCAATTAGTGTCAGGTTAAAATTATGATTAATGTAACAAAAATAATCAACTAACTAAAATTTGTGTTTCTTATTATTCCAAATATCCAAGTCTCATGTGAAAATAATCAATCAGTTGAATGTAACTGATTACTGAGCACAATAGTTAATCTGTTAGCAAATTTCACTAATCTCCAAGCTCTGGTATTAGGATGGATACAAGATTCCTGACCTACATGTAGGCTATGGTTAAAGTTCTTTGTACAGATGAAAACCTATTTATTGCACTTTGTTGTTGTTATAGTTGGATATACCACTTTTAGGCAGTTTTTTAAAAGGTAAAATTTTAATGGTGGTACACCCTCCTTAGAAATTAGAATTTTCTGAAAAAAAAAAGAAAGTTAGCATCAGGCCAAGGCTTTATGACCAGTGCTGATATAATGTGAGGAACCACTCTACCATAATTTGTTTCTTTCCATTACATAACACTCTTACATAAACATGAAAGATTAATAACTTACTACGTACATGTTAATAACTTACTAATTACATTATGTACAATATTCTCTCTTCCAATGCCTAAACCACTTGTACAAGTCAAACTATGATGTCATAATTCAACAGCTAGGCAAATGACTGAGTGTTTGTCATATATAAAATTGTAAATATGGGCCATCCATGTAGGCTGAGCTGGAAGATATAAATAGTTAACTTAGAAGTTGTATTATAAGAGTATGCAATCATCCACATAACACTACTAACAGAATATACTTGTTAATTACAGGTGCTTATTAGTAATAAGTTGGCTAAAGTAATATGTAAATGACAGTAATACTGTAAATCATTGTGTTCATTGCTCATCATGTAAGTATCACTTGTCCAGTCAACATGAATTGGGACTTAACATATATAGGTAACAAGGGATCATTTGGTTCTTCAAGACTGCCCACCCACTCTTGGGGTAATAAAAATGTAAACCTACTTAATATTCCTGTAAAGTGCTTGCTTCAGTTACTGTCAACAGCAGTTTATTCCATAAATCAATCAATCTGTTAAAAAAAATGTTTTCAAGCCAGTTTTAACTGAAGCCTAGCTTGTGAATTCAAAATCTTGCTTATGTCTTCTTGTTCTATTATCTTCAGAACACATCATAAAAAAAATTCAGAAGCCTTCCTCTTATTAATAACCTACATATTATATATGATGTTTAAATAAAGTTCTCTGAAATCCACAAAGTCTCTTTATTGTGTTGAGCTAGTTGAGATTAATGTTGACATTTTAGTGGTGTCCATAATTTTTTTACATTATGTAAATTGTGCAAATGCAAGAGGGACTCGTGAGTTTTATGTAATTAGACTCGTAACTAGGTTAGGTTAGAGACCTACTAAAGGAGTAACGGTACCAATTAGACACTGTAGATATTTATAATTATCATTCAGTACTTTATATTACTACTAGTACTAGTATCTATATGACTATTATATTACATAATGTTTTTTAAAATTATTAAGTTACTGTTACTGTTTTACATAACGTGGAATTATAATTCATCTATTGTATTCCTGTCTTTACTTTTAGGGGTTGGATATGCGAGTCACTAACTAATATTTTATAAAAGGTCTTTAGTAGTAAGCAGGTGCCAGAAAATTGGAAGATCTCTAATATTTGTTCTCATTTTAAGGGTAATCATAAAAATTGTCCAGGTAATTATAGGTCTATTAGCTCTACATTAGTGGTGGGAAAAGTTTTTGAAAGTCTTGTAAGAGATGCTTTGCAAAGCCATTTAACAAAACTTAAAATATTGTTGGATAGTCAACATGGTTTCACTAAAGAAAAACCTTCCCTAACTAATGTTCTGACATTCTTTGAAGAGGTTATTGCTTATAGTGATGAGAGTAAATATGTTGATTTGGCATATCTGGATTTTAGAAAGCATATGACAAGTTGCCACGTAAAAAGGTTATAACAAAAACTTCTCTATAGGTGTGAGAGATGAACTGGCTTATTTGATCAAAAAATGGCTAGAGTTAAGAAAGCAGAGGAGCGTGATAAACAGTTCAGTCAAAGTGGATTAACGTCACAAAAAAAGTATATTAAGGGTCAGTGTTGGGCCATTTATTATTTGCAGTTTACATAAATGACATCTTTCATTGTGCTGGTTAATCAGAGGGCCAACTAAGTTGCAGTTAGCTTTTAATTATAACATATACGAGGTAATGCATGGGGATTATCAAAAGTTAAATTATAAATATAATTTTGAGTAGAATGATCAATAATGAAATGGGATTTGAACTCAACCCTATTTGGAAGTTGTTCTTTTCAGATTAGTTTTTGAACTCTACTGCCTTTACCAAACCTTGATATTTCTGGGGCCATTTTGAACCTGAATGTACAAGACATGGGGAACAATTTGATCCAGTCTCATGAGAATGACAAGCTTGGCATGTCAAAACTAGTCGGTTTTTGTATGCTTTGTTAATATTAACACTTGTGCATCATTATGCTGGTGTGTTATTACTCTTTTTAAGACTAAAGAGATTACTATTTCACTATATAGTTCACTAGTTATTGTGTTCAGTCTGGGGTTCTGGAAATGGTTCAACAGTGGGCTACTACTAGTACTAGGATGATACTTAGGATATAAATGTTGTTATATAAAGACAAATTAAGACCCATAATATTGTTTTTTATTGAAAAAACAGTTACTAAAGTTAGATGGAATCTGATTGTAATGTTCAAGATAATTAAGGAGATAGGTAGTCATAATCCTTTTCCATACTTAAGTTAATGGTGTGAATGTTGGAACAAGGAAACACAATTATAAATGTTGGCAGGGTAGGTGTCATTATTAGCTTACAATGGAGGTAGTAAACTTAATGGAGTTAAACTCAGGGGAAGGCTTGATAAATAATTAAATGATCAGGGTCGCATTTGAGTTGTTTTTTGGAGAAGATGGGATAACCTGAAGTTGGGCAAGTTGAAGTTGATGGACCAACATCGCAACAAGCCTCTTTTCAAGTTGATCATCTCGTTGAGCGTAAAACTAAAAAGTTGAAATATATTTACTGCATACGATTGAGTAATTATTAATCGAGAATGATTTTAAACAACATTGCTGATGCGGAGCCTTAAAACCTAATAAAAATTAAAAGCCCATCTTAACAAGATTATATGTTCTTAGAAATAACGTCACGATGTTACACTTTAACTTTTAAGTTATCGTATACCATATACGACTAACGAGGCCTTTATATTTTTGCACTCGAACTTTGGCCTTATTATTAATCCAATAGATATTGTATTTGAATTAATTTCCTGCTCTTACAAATTAAAATTTGTAAATTAATATAATCACAACACGCGTAAACTAACCTCAGAAAAGAATTGCTGGGTTTGTCGATTAGGAATATCTGGAACATCAAGAAATCCCCCTTTCCGAGCCATGATACAATGTGAGAATACTCCTCGAGTACGACATCAAATAACAATGAATCTGTCGCGAATTTATAAACATCAAAATGAAATATTCATCCCTTTTTATTTCGAGCATCCATGCAAAAATTCTTATGAAAATTGTTTTAAGATACGATGTTGTACATATCGGATCTTAGATCATTAAACTGTGTAATTTATTTAATTTTAATGTACTGTTTTCCCTTCATACTTTTGGAAGTTGTATTTTCAATGTTGTAATTTAGTTGTTTGGTAGATGGAGCAGCTAACTATTACGATGTATTTAATCGAGAAGTTTATTCTAATATCTAGAAAATGGTACGTTACATATAAAACGAGTAATCAGTTAGAGAAGTTATTGAGTAGTGAATGGGAATTCAGCGAAGTATGTAGTGAGTGACTGATTTCATTATCATGTCTAATAGGTTGATCAATTGATTATTTGGGAAATTCTGTGAGTGTAAGTAAGTTATTTATAAGGCTTGGTAGCGTTCTGGGGTCGGGCTTGCTAGATCTCACGCTACCCCAAAATGTGGCTTAGCTTTCCCTGTAGCCCCTGCATTCAACGAGCAATACTTACTGTTAAAGTTGGTTTACTTCCTAAATACTATAATATATGTACCCACAAGATGAAGAGTGTAGCCTTCCTCAATTTTTTGTCAAACTCACCTCAGATCTTTTATTGGGAATACGCTGTTTGTAAGTTAAGCATAAATTAAGTGCCCTTAGTTTGGAATTTCTGTCGCAGTTATTTGTGAACTTAGGCCTACATAGCACAGATGAATCTAGCCTGTGAAGACATGTTATAAGAAGTAAACTAATTCGTTATTGTTAAGTGAAATGGACTTAGCATTATTTTTAATAATAACCAAATGAATCTACCCAACAATTATTACACACACGTGTGCAGGGGGTTCAGCTGAATCCCCTATTGCTGTGATATCAAGAAATATATGCTTATATAGTTATAGTGCAGCTGCTTATGGTATTTAACGTTTTATACATAGCCTACATTCTTCTGATCAAACATTAGCATTTTTGGCTAAAAATAGTCACATGCAATGACTTCTGTTGACTTAATAATTGGAAGCTCGAAGTCGTATTGCTATTGTCAGGTTTTGTAGGCTGGCTGTTTTACAGTAGTGTCTATCACTTGTTGGCGATAAATTTCAACAATAAACAAACAGCAACACAGTCCACTTGTTTTAAAATAATATATTAAAACAAGGCAAACCTATATCCATATGTTCACTATTGGTTATCACAGTTGTATCCAGGGGCTTTGAATAATTGTCTCTTTTTGGTCCAAGTCCACACAAGCTTTATGGTTCGATTACTTTAGAACACAATTTACAAATTATTATTCCCTTCTCTGCTATTATAATATAGTTAGAGTATGTGATGATTTCACTTTAAAAATTGCTACTATATGCTCTTTATCGCTAAATTTACAATCAAGCAGTCCAGATCTAAATAATAGTCTTTCGACGCGTATTTATACCCCGACAGAAATCTAGAACATCCACGCAATACTAGATATTCTGATGCAATAATTCTCAATTAAAACAACGAGAAAAGTTCAAAAAGTTTTAGTAACATGACGCAACATTATAACAATCACTAACTTATAACAACTGAACGTACACACTACACAACGTGTGATTCTTAAACAATTACGTAAACACACTTGCCATAAACTCTCTCTCTCTTAAAAATAACTAAATATGACACCAAAACTATCCAAACCATAACGGTCGCTTTAAACTTAAACTGAAACAGTCGTGTATATTTAATAGCTACACATGATTTTGAGCATTAGCAAGCTTCGTCGTGTTACGAAAATATAACTATAAAGTCATTGTGGGTTTGAGATTTAAGCATTTTTGTAGGTTTTTATTTCCGTACAAGGAATTACCTGAGAATAGTAGTAATTTTCAACCCATTTGAAAACTATCGGCTATAGGAGTAAGTGTCTGGCTCGCGAGACTACACAGTATGTGACACTTCTTACTGAACAGAATGAAGTGCCTACGTGAAACTGACTGTAACAATATATGAGTGTTTTTTGTTTTTTTTTGCCAGCAAAAGAAAAGGATTGGAACATGACGACTAAATTACACTACTACGTAGATTTGCTGCTTTAATAGCTACTGTAGCCTTTGACATGATATTAACTAAAGGGGGTATTACATTAAGATCGAGTAAGTTTATAAAAGTAAGCCTAGAATATCTAGAAAATTCTAGATATTGACAACAAGAATCTAGTAAATTCGGGAAGTATTCAGAGACTAGAGTAGATTATAAATACTTGAATAAATGAAGCATTGAATCAATTTTCAGTGGGGGTGCGTACTTTATATTTGTCGATACAGGTATCTAGATATTGATGCCGTGATACGAAAATATCTAGATACAAAAGTTTTACCAACAGTTTGTTACAAAGTTTGACAGTCTTGTATGTATTGTTACGTCTCCGTTTGTTAATTAACTTTTCCGTAACTTCGTTCCGACGAAACTTTAACGACATAAGTCTTTACTTAATAAAACTGGTTTATTCTTTCCGAATATAACTTTACGATACACTTGATTTCAATATTCGCGCTAAAACAAACACTATAACGAACGAACGTTAACTTCAACAATACCCTGTGACTGCAGTTCAATTACTCACTATCTACACACACATTATTACCTTCTCCCGTCACGTTGTCACCCTCTTTTATATACCAGACTACCTTATATCTAGTAAATACTAGAGCATTCGCCAAGGTACGGGATAGTTCTAGAAACGTGGCGTCACACTAGTCATGTGATTCGCTGACGCAACACTATTATATTATCTATATTACTAACTTTGTCTTATTTAAGTACTTTGCACTTTACAGTGATTTTTCATATTCTCAGGATTGATCAATTAAATTGCAGCTGGCATGAGAAGTAAAATAAGAAAAAAGTCAATATATTTCTATCTATTTTGTTATTGTTAATTTGTTATGTTACTTTGCATGTTATGTTTTTGATAAACATGTGATACTTACTCAATGCGCATCTTCCTTTATTGAATCGTTAATTTTTAGCAAAAATATTTTCTTAGAAAATATTTATAATGTTTACTGAAAGCTAACTAAGTTCCATGAAGATACACAAGCGGTATCGTATCGATACAATCGTATCATGACTTCATGCGTATCGCCACACCTTTAGTTTTCAGTCAGTAGGGTGTCACTCATTCAGTGAAGTATTTCGTTTCAGAGAAGTATTTGGGTCAGTTTTAATTATCATGTATATTCAGCTACTTGATCAAATATCCATGAAATTATAGATCCACAGGTAAGTTTCGTTTGTATGTTATTTGCAGTACCAATAATGTATCAATAATTTGAAAGTGAAAATGTCTTTTGGAACTTCGGCCTGTAGGAAGGTTATAAAAGAAATAAACTAAGTC